CCGCCTCCTCCCGGCCCAGGCACAGCTGCGCGGCACCCCGGAAAGGAAAATGACCGCGGGCGCTCCGCTTCTTCTGCCCGCCTCCCAATCCTGTTCGAGCGGGCGGCCCGACGGGGGTCTGGGCGAAAGCCCCAAACCCTGGCAACCCCGCCTCCGGCCCCCAGACGAGCGGCTGCAACTGAGAGGCACTCTGGACTGCAAGGCCCGTGCGGAGGGAAGAGGGAGCCGCGCGCTCGGAGCCGGGGAGGGTCTCCCGGAAGGGCGGCTCCCGCCTGGTCCTCCACTCCCGCCCCCTCGGGGGAGCTGTTGCGTCAGCTTCGAGATCCCAAACTAAGGAAAGTGGTCTCCACCGGCCAGATGGGCGTGGGGCAGCAGAGCCGCCGCCAGGAGGCAGCACTGAACAAAAAATGTAAGGGCTGAGGGTGCCCGGGAGGCCGAGTCACCAAAGCACCTTGAAGCGTCTTAGAAGCAGCGTGGACGCCACAATACAGGGATTTGCTGGGCTGGTTCAAAAGAGACATTTGGAAATGCTTCCACATGTTTTAAGGCTAAAGGATGATTTATAAATAATAGTACCTTTTGGACACTCGCTTTGCAGTTTTATTTTATTTTGTCATTTTCACTTTGCAGTTTTAAAGCCAACATTGCTACACTGCAGAGATTCACAGAGCCACCCTCCTTCAAGACCAGTCTGGGGAAAAGGCACACTGCTTAAGAGACTTCAAAGCTATCAAGCAAGGAAAAGTAGTGTAGCCCTGGCTGGTTTGGCTCAGTGGATAGAGCATCGGCCTGCGGACTGGAGGGTCCGGGTTCGATTCCAGTCAAGGTCCCATGCTGGGGTTGTGGGCTAGGGGCCTGTAGGAGGCAGCCACAGCCAATCATTGATTCTCTCTCATCATTGGTGTTTCTGTCTCTCTCTCCCTTCCTCTCTGAAATCAATGCAAAGATTTTTTTTTAAAGTAGTGTAGTCCGAGGTCATACTGATTTAGCAGGGATTTGACAGCCACGAGAAAAGAAACGGAATATGGTACAATAAATTATGTAAGCAATAAAATAATATGCAAAGCAATGTATTGTGTGAGTCGGTGGTTTCTAGCCATCAATTCCCACACTTGTTTGTTTCTTAATCCTCATCCAAGGATATTTTTTCCATTGCTTTTTAGAGAGAGTGGAAAGGAGGAAGGGAGGGAGGGAAGGACAGAGACAGACACACACACACACACACACACATATCCGTTGCCCCAGCCAGGGCAGGGATCAAACCTGCAACCAGGTACATGTCCTTGACCGGAAATCAAACCCATGACCCTTCAGTGCTCGGGGCAACTCTTTAACCACCAAGAACACTGGGGAGGGCAATTTCCACACTTCGTGCTGAGCGTGACAGTGATTTGATCTTGAGCTGACCTAAGAAGGAAGATAAGGAAGGAATGTGAAATAAGACATTTCCTAAACCTTAGAATTTGGTCACAAGCAAGCAAAAAGGGGAAGAGCGCAAAATGAGGCAGCTTTATGTATGCTCTTTCTCCAACATCACCATTATTCATCACAATGGTTTAAAAAGCACCTAATTTGCCTGGACGGTGTTAGCTGTCAGTACTAGTTCTCTCTCTCTCTCTCTCTCTTTCTCTCTCTCTCTCTCTCAAAATCCTCACTCATTTCCTGCTATTTACAACCCATGGGTTGTCACCCTGCCACATCAAAATAACCACGTCAAAGGCTGAACTTGTCTTCCTTCCCAAGACCTTTTCCCTTCCAGATTTCCCAGTTTTCCTAGTCAAACTTCCTATCCTGCTCCCAGAGTTCTCCAGCTCTAGCTCCTTTATTCCCATAGCTATTAAAGTATTACACGTGTTCACTTCTGCAGGTGGAGTTCACAGTGTCCGCCCTATTTGTGCACTTTAATGCATGTAACCCTATTTTTTATTTTACAAATCAGTGGTATCCCCCTACTGTGTGAGCTACTAGAATAGAGGGATGTTGCTAGTTCAGTTCTATAAACATTATAAAGATATAGCACTGGACCTGACCAGTTAGGCTCAGTGGATAAAGCCTCGGCCTGCGGACTGAGGGGTCCCGATGTTTCTAGGTCTCTATCTCTCTCCCTTCCTCTCTGTAAAAAATCAATAAAATATATTTTTTTTTAAAAAAAGATATAGCATTGGTGGTAGTGCCAGCCTGTCACCTTTCTCGCCAATCTTGAATGTGGACACCGAGGTTATTTTTCCAGTGTATGATTCCCCAACTATAAACTATGTGATGGGATTCCGGTGCTGTCTGCCTCGGTTGTCTGTCTCAGACCCTGCCAAGGGCACATGGAGCCCAGCTTAGAAAAGGTGTCACTCAGTGGTTATTGCAACTGTAAAACAATAAATCCACAGCCATATTTTGGTTCAATTTCCTGATCTCTGAAAACTACAGTCTGAATAATGATTACTTCCTGGACTGTCTTACCTACTTTAAGGGTTTATTATGAAAACTGTAGAAATCATTTGTATACAGTGTTTTTGATAAGTGAAAATTGAGTGTATGAATGTAAGATAACAATGGTACTATATTGCCTTATTTCCCTTGCTTAGTTTTTTGGATCCATCTGGTGTTTTATAATCAAGTTTCTTTTGTCCCTGTCCCTTTTTCTGGTTCAGCCCTAGTCTATACTATTCTTATTGTTATCAAAATAGCTTCTTTTACTTCTTAAACGAGGATCCACCCTTCCCCTCTTTCAAAGCACAGCTCAGAGGCACCTCCTGTGGAAAAAGTTCCCAGTCTTGCAGAAGGAAATGATAATTCTTTTAAAAAAAGAATCAACCAATGAATGCATAAGTGGAACAAGAAATCAATGTTTTCTCTCTCTCTCACTCCCCCCTTCTTTTTAAAAAGATCAATTAAAAATTTTTAAATGTTTGCACAAATGTGATATATTAAACTTTTAAAAAATATATTTTTATTGATGTCATTGAGGAAGGGAGAGGGAGAGAGAGAGAGAAACATCAATGATGAGAGAGAATCATTGATCAGCTGCCTCCTACACAACCCACATTGGGGATCGAGCCCGCAACCTGGTGGAGCCCTTGACCAGAATCGAACCCAGGACCCTTCAGTCCACAGGCTGATACTCTAGCCACTGAGCCAACCCAGCTAGGGCTAAAGTTGTTTAAATGAAGAAATTAAGGATGACTTACCCAAGGCAAGTAAGTGGTTAAAAAAGAGGAAGGAGCTACAGATGTGGATTTGCCACTGACTAGCACCCACCTCACAAGGTTGTGGCCGGGTGTGCTGATTGCTTTTACGAAAACTGAATCAGACCCTAGCTTGGTACTTCTTCCGCAAGAAAGAAGAAGTACCACCTACTGCCTTGACCACCTACTGCAGACCAAGTTTCCACCAGCACCACACGCTTCCCTTCCAGCACTCATCTCAGAATTAATTCTACAGCGACGTGATTACTTGATGATTGCCTTCTCTCTGTAGACTGGGAGCTCCAGCAGAATAACGATGTCTTGTTCTCCATAGACTCTCCTGCACTGAATACGGTGCTGCTCACAGGCCTCTTCGGTTTTGTTGGAGGCCCTGGCCTGTGTGGTTCCTTGGTTGGGCATAAGCGGGGTGCCCTCAAAGGTCACCAGTTCGACCCCCGCCAGGGCACACATGGTTGGGATGCATACAGGAGGCAGCCATCGTGTCTCTCCCTCCCTTCCTCTCTCTCTAAAAATTCAATAAAAGCATACTTTAAAAACTGTCTCTGCTAGCCTTGGCCGGCTTGGCTCAGTGGATGGAGCATCAGCCTGTGGACTGAGGGGTCCCAGATTCGATTCCAGCCAAAGGCACATGCCTGGGTTGCAGGCTCGGTCCCCAGTGTGGGGCGTGCGGGAGGCAGCTGATCAATGATTCCCTCTCATCGTTGATGTTTCTCTCTCTCCCCTCTCCCTTCCTCTCTGAAAGCAATAACTATATATATATATTTTTTTTTAAAAACTGTCTCTTCTGGATAAATGAGTGAAAACTGGAGCCCGAACTTTCTGATTCTCTCTAGGTTTGACTCTTAGGCTGGGAAAAATATGTTAGTGATGAGAGATAGTATAAGCAGTGGTTCTCAACCTTTTGGCCCTTTAAATACAGTTCCTCATGTTGTGACCCAACCATGTAATTATTTTCGTTGATACTTCATAACTGTAGTGTTGCTACTGTTATGAATCATAATGTAAATATCTGATATGCAGGATGGTCTTAGGCGACCCCTGTGAAAGGGTCATTTGACCGCCAAAGGGGTCGCGACCCACAGGTTGAGAACCGCCGGTATACAGCAACGTGTATGGTACTCCATTGAGATATAAAATATAAATTTCAAAGAACCGCTGCAGGGAAGTCATAGAAACAGCTCAGAGGACACAACTCCTACTGAGGGAGTCTCCACCACCGAGGATGCATAGGATGGTCAACCAATCTGCTCCAAAGTCCCAGCCGCAATTTCATCCTTCTCTTCTCTTCCGTACAACGACCCAAGATGGCGGGGCCCGTGATTGAAAGCCAGGTTCAAGATGGCGGCTTCCTACTTCCCCCGAGAAGTAGCGCGTGGCCACTGAGGCCACGCCCACTTGGCGATGCCACGCCCACTTCCGGTCCCTGGCCCGCAGCATGGCTGCTCTAGGTGCTCTGCTCTTTAGTAAGTGGGCTGGGGAGCCTGCGCGGGGCTGGGGGTCTGGGACCCCCGGGCTGCCAGCACGGCCTCTCTCTCACCTCTGCCCTGCTTTCTCCGCAGGTGTCCGGAGGCTGCACGGCAGCGCGGCGGCTCGGGCGGGTGGCCAGTGGAGACTCCAGTGAGTGTGGGTTTGGGGAAGATGGGGGTCCAGAAGCTGTGCTGAGTCCTAACCGAACGGTTTTTCTCCTCCCAGGCAGGGCATGGCTGCCAACCCCTCGGGCTACGGGCCCCTGACGGAGCTCCCAGACTGGTCGTACGCGGGTGAGCGCGGACCTCCTTGGAGAGTTAACTCTGCCTCCGACCGTGTCACCCGGAGAGAACGCCCCTGCGGGGAGCGGGTGGGGCCGGGGGTGGGACCGGGGGTGTCAGGGTGGCGGTGTGTCCGAGTGAACAATATTGAACTTTACAGGGGGAAGAAGCCCTGTTGTTTATTTTGTAAATTAAACTAGGCCGGTGGGAAATAAAGCTAGACAGGCTCTTTGAGGCTTGTGCAGATCAGCAGAAGACAGTTCTGACTGGGGGCGCCCCGTCCCGCCAGGGGAGAGAGTGAAAAGACTTTCCTGTTTCTCAAAGGGTCTTAGAAAGTTCTCCGTGCTGAGTGCATTTTTGAGAATTTGGTACCAAATGCAGGGAGAGCCCCTGGAAAGGCTGCCAAAATGAGCATCACAGAGAGAGGAGTAGAAAAGTGAATAGTGAGGATGGTGGCCGCCCTTCAGAAAGGTCTCTTCCCTTTATTGTTTAAAAAAAAAAAAAAACAACGATACTTTTTTAATGATTTCAGAGATGAAAGGAGAGGGAGAGAGAGATAGAAACATCAGTGATGAGAGAGAATAATTGATTGGCTGCCTCCTGCGCACCCCCCACTGAGGACCAGGAATCCAGCATGGCCTTCTGGTTCATAGGTCGATGCTCAACTACTGAACCACACAGGCCGGGCTTTTCCCTTTACTTAAAAAGAAAAAAGAAAAAACAACGAAGTAAAATGAAAATAAAAGAAATATTAGCCCTCGGAGGGAGAACCTTAGAAAAGTTGAAGCCACGCCCGTATAGGACTCCAGTTTACAGATAGGAAAATTGAGGCCTAGAAATGTGAATTGCCTGTGATCACCCACCAGGTAAGAGCAAAGCCAGGACTAGAACAGGGCAGAGGCCAGGCCCCCTTCAACAGCACAGAGGCCTGAGTATTAATACCCTATTGGATTTTATAGGAGTATGATTTTGCTTAATCGGAGAGTTGCTGCCCAAGGAGGATGGTGAAGATTTTTTTCTACTTGTTATTTACTGTAGGAAGCCTAGGATCTTCTTGAAGTACTATGGAATATTGGAAAGACTCTGGAATTGATTCTTTTTTGGTTGTTAATCCTCACCTGAGCATATTTTTCCATTGATTTTTTTAGAGATAGTGGAAGAGAAGGGGAGAGATAGAAACATCTATGTAAGAGAGATACGTCGATTGGTTGCCTCCTGAACATACCCAACCAGGGCTGGGGATTGAGCGTGCAACCAAGGTATATTCCCTTCACCGGAATCAAAATCAAACCCAGGAACTTTCAGTCTGCGGGGACCAATGCCCTGTCCACTGAGCCAAACTGGCTGAGGCTGGAATTGATTCTTAATCCAGGCTTCTCTACTTGCTAACATTGTGGGTCTTGGTCAAGTTACTTAATTGTATCTCTCAGTTTCCACATCTGTAAAAAATACCTATCTCGCCCTAACCAGTTTGGCTCAGTGGACAGAGCATTGGCCTCGGACCGAAGGGTCACAGGTTCAATTCCGGCCAAGGGCATCCTATCTCATATGGTTTTTGGAAGGATAAAATGAAACGACCAATGTAAACACCTGGCATACACAACATTGGTTCCCTTTACTGATAAATAATATCTCTTTTCTGTCTTGCCTTCAAACATTTGGGCAGAGAGTTCACTCTGTTTATTTCTTTGTTGAAAATGCCCTTTCTTATCAACTCCATTATAAACCGTTTGAGATACTTTGTAGCAAGTCTGCAGATATTTATGAAATTTTTATTATGTGCCTACACTATAGTGAAAGCTTAGCAATACGGTCCCTGATCCCAAGGAACTTAAAGTCTAGCTGGGAAAACAAAGCATGGACATTTTATAAATTAAGTGATAACACTTTAGTGCTCTGCTCCTTTCCAAAACGATCTGAGATGGCTAAATAAGGTTAAAAACAATAGTACAATAACTGTCCCAAGGCAAGTAGATGAGTATTAAATGAGTGACATACACTTCTTTTTTTTCTTTTTTATTGTGATGAGAAACATATACAATTTTCCTTTATAGAGTGGTCCCCCTGACATTTCAAGTACCGCCCCCCCCCCGCCCGTACATAGCTATTACTGTTACAATATTATTTTTTTCTCCCATTTACCTCTCCCCAGCCACTCTCACTCCCCAGCACATGCCCTCACCCCCCACCCCCCAGTGTCTGTGTCCATTGGTAATGCTTATATACATGCAGACAAGTCCTTTGTTTGGTCTCCTAACCCCACCTTCCCTCTGAGGTTTGACAGTCAGTTCAGTGCTTCTGTGTCTCCGGATCTTTTGGTTCATTAGTTTATGTTGTTCACTATATTCCACAAATGAGTGAGATCATGTGATATTTACCTTTCTCCGACTGGCTTATTTCACCTAGCATAATGCTCTCCAGTTCCATCCATACTCTTGCAAATGGTAAGAGTTCCTTCTTTTTTACAGCAGCGTAGTATTCCATTGTGTAGATGTACCACAGTTTTTTAATCCATTTCTTTGCTGATGGGCACTTAGGCTGTTTCCAAATCTTAGCTATGGTAAATTGTAATATGCACGTCTTTCAGAAGAGAGTTTTAAGAGGTTAGAGAAGGGTTTCTGGGACAGATTGGGCTTGAGGTGGGCCTAAGGGTGAGAATTTGGCTGGAAGGAAAGGCAAGAGGTGTTTGTTATGGAGTTAGGTGGAATTTAGCAAAGATTTGAGGTGAGTAGAACAGTGATCAGTTTGCTTGAATGGGGGCTTTATGAAGATAAAACAGGTGATTCAGCATTGCAAAGAACCTTGAACTCCTGGCTGATGAGGGGTGAGTGAAATACAATAGGAACATGCCCAAGAGCTTATTCTTGGCATACTTCACCCTTGAAGATGAGGAACTTATTTTAGGGAAATTTTACAGTGGGTGTGAAATGGAAGCGAGGAGCTAGAAACTGGTTTTTCCCTCGTTTCTGTCTGCTTTCGCAAGGTGCTGCACGCCATCCCTAACATTTGCCTTTTCTCTCACTTCTATCTCCAGATGGCCGCCCTGCTCCTCCGATGAAAGGCCAGCTTCGAAGACAAGCCCAAAGAGAAAAATTTGCAGTGAGTTGCTAGAGCCCCATCCAGGGCAACCTGCATGTAATCTGAGGGACAAAGTTTAAACTGTAATTTGTCTTGAGCTGTGTTGACACCTAAGCTAACATGTACCCCTCACACTGTTTTAACAATCAAGATTTTAACAGTACTGTGAGAAGGAAGGAATAGAGGGGGTACTCCTAGGGCAGGAACCGGTAGTAGACATTCTGCCACACATTTTACTGTCTTCCCCACTTCCCATCCCAGGACCGGGCCCCACCCCTTCCCCAGTCAGCAGTGTCATTTTCCAGCTGAAACCTCTGACTTTGATCTGTGAATGAAAGGATATATGGTGCAGAGCTCAAGCCCCAGATGTTATTCACACTGTTTTCCTGTCTGTTTCAGAGACGAGTTGTACTGTTGTCACAGGAAATGGATGCTGGGTTACAGGCATGGCAGCTCAGGCAGCAGGCAAAGTTGCAGGAAGAAGAACAGAAGAAGAAAAATGCTCTTAAACCTAAAGGAGCTGCTCTGAAGAGCCCACTAACACGTCAATAAAAAGCAACTCCTCTCTCTTTTTCCCAGCATTTGTTGTTGTTCCCCATCCATCTTCAGAGCAGAAGAGCTTGGAGCCCAGGAAGAACAGGCTGTAGGAGCACTGCATGGAAGGGCTGGTTACAGGCCCTCACCCCTGGCTCCCTTCCAGTTCAGGGGTATCTTGCTCTGGGATATTTACCCCCTCCTTTGCAGGTCTGAAGACTGGCCCAACTTTGAGCAGTTACTGCTCTGCAAACATGAAAAGGGGGCCGCGGTTTACTTGGTCTTAGCCACCATTCAAGCTTTGAAAAATCTATACACAGCTCAGTCTGCATACAGTTATACATTTAATAAATGTTTCAATGAAAAAGACTTTCCAGCTGAGGTCCATTTCTTGGCTAGCAACTGGTATCAGTTTTTCTAAACCAGATTCATGGCCCAAGAGGATACCAACACTGGGAAGGCTGACATGGGAAGAACCAGACTTGGGTGGTGCATGTTCTAAAGATTTGGATCTTGAGGTTTCCCTGGTTCTGATTGAATCCTAGAAATTGGAGAGAGGACTGTCCTCCTGGCCCCAATTTACGTAGGGGGCCCTGGAGATACTCAACCCCAAAAACAGCCTTGTGGGTTAGGGTTATCCCATATACCTCCCACAACCCTGTTAGCTGCCTCCTAAGGCCCAGGAAACCTTTTAGAGAGAGGAGCATCAATGGGCTGCCTCCTGTACCCCCCCTCCTATTGGGGATCAAGCCTGAAACCCAGGCATGTGCTCTGAAGGGAATCAAACACGGGACCACTTCTTGGTGCAAGGGACAACTCAACTGAGCCACACTAGCTGGGCAAAACTTTCATTTTATTGCTCGTGGGTTCTGTGTGGAAAAACCGTTGCTCTCATTACAATACACAACACTGGACTTTTTTTTCCCATTTTCATGTCACAAACTTGTGTTAGTTCCTGGATCTCTAGGATTTCTGGAGTTTCTTACCAGACCTAATTTCTGTCCAGCCTCCCAGTTATTCCTTCCCTTGCTTTCTTTCCCTCCCTTCTTCCCCCCAATACCTCCTTCCCTTCCCCTCTGACCAATGTAATTCTTGGGTCTTAGATTTCGCTGATGGTTGAGTTTTCTGTCTCCCACACTTTTCCTGCTTGTTGCTCTGCCTTTCCAGATCTAGTTCTCAACCTCTTATCTGTCTCCCTTTCTCAGCTTTAGCCTGCCCTCCCCCTTCCCTGCATACCTCCACCTTTTGTTCTCAGAGACTACTAGTCCTTGAAGGAGATTTTACCCTTGAAGGAACTGCCTCCTTTTCCAGGGTAAGGAATTAAACCCTGAAGTTCCAACTTCCAATCGCCCTTCTAACAATTGCACCAAACTTGATTTGCCTTTACCCAGAGTCCATGGCCTTGCACCCCTCTCCTCCCCAACCAGTTCTCATTTAGGGATCAGTCAGATTGCAAGTGGCATAATAAAGGAAGCACATTCATTTTTCTACAAGGATGGGACCATCCCCCCCCCGCCCCCCATCCAGTGTGGTTGAGGGGTTTGTTGATGGGTAATTGGGTTTTGATATTGTGTGTTTTTGTTTGGTTGGTCGGTTGGGGTTTTTTCTATTGATTTCAGAGAGGGAGAGAGAGAGAAACATCAATGATGAGAGAGAATCATTGATCAGCTGCCTCCTGCACACCCTGCTCTGAGGATCGAGCTGGCAACCCGGGCACGTGCCCTTGGCCAGAATCGAACCCGGGACCCTTCAGTCCACAGGCCAATGCTCTATCCACTGAGCTAAACTGGCTAGGGCTGATATTGTTTTTGTTTGTTTGCAACAGGGACAGAGGTGGTTGTCAAGAATAAGCGACAAAGATTCAATGTGGTTTAGTCACAGGTCCCAACAGACGATCCCCTAACCCAGGTCTCAGGACATGGAAGACCTCCCCAATCACGTCCCAGACTCTGAACTTGTTTGCCCCAGCCACTGAGCCTCCCAGTACTTCCCATCTGAGGTGAGGCAAACGCTGAATACCAGAGGAATCGAGCCATCCAAAATATGCCTAGGGGGGAAAGTCTCCCACATCCCGTCCCCTTGGACCCCCCCCCCCACACACACACACACACACACACCACACTCACAGTTCCTTGCTCTCGGCTGTGGCCTCAACCCCTGGAGATGGCAGCCTTTACCACAGAAAGTCAACTTAGGTTTGGTTTTTCCTTTTTTTGGGTTTTTTTTACCGGGCTCTTGGCTGTAATTGGATTCAGGCTGAAACAACCACGTCCGCACCGGGAAAGGAGGGCATTGGGGCGTGGGCGGGAGGAGAGGCTGTGGGATAAAGGGAGGGACCAGAGGAGAGAGCAAGAGAGGGCTCGCCATCTAGTTCGCCGACTAAGCAGAAGAAAGGCCAGAGAACGGAGGGGAGGCGACGAGCAGACAGGCGCGCTCGGGAACCAGCGCCTCCTCTCCCAGCGGACAGCTCTCCAAGAATCCCAGCTCGGTGCCTCCGGGAGACAAAGGCGTCCGAGGGAGGGGCGGCGCGACCCCCAGGCTGGGCCCCGC